GTGTTAATGTGTGTGTGTGTGTTAATGTGTGTGTGTGTGTGTTAATGTGTGTGTGTGTGTTAATGTGTGTGTGTGTTAATGTGTGTGTGTGTTAATGTGTGTTAATGTGTGTGTGTGTTAATGTGTGTGTGTGTGTTAATGTGTGTGTGTGTGTGTGTGTTAATGTGTGTGTGTTGTGTTTAATGTGTGTGTGTGTGTTAATGTGTGTGTGTGTGTTAATGTGTGTTAATGTGTGTGTGTGTTAATGTGTGTGTGTGTGTTAATGTGTGTGTGTGTTTAATGTGTGTGTGTGTGTTAATGTGTGTGTGTCTGCATGGCTAATGACTGTATTGTATTGTTGGATGAAATTAGCAGCTGAATGCTGGTGACCTGCAGAGCCGGTTCCCACGGTTCTTTCACACGCTCCGGTTCTGGTGCTGTTCTGGTCCGGTTCTGGTTCTGTTCTGGTCCGGTTCTGGTTCTGTTCTGGTCCGGTTCTGGTTCTGTTCTGGTCCGGTTCTGCCCTTCCACCTGTTGTCCTGGCGCTGGAGCTGGCCCTTTAAGAGATCCAGGAAGTGGCCGCGGCAGCAGGAGGAGACAGGTGTGCTGCTGACAGGATGATGTCATTCCTGGCTGAGTCTCGTGCAGGGAGGAAGAGGAGGAGGAGGAAGAGGAGGAAGGAGGCCCAGCAGGAGGAGGCAGCAGGCCGTGTGAAGGTGAGCCGGTCTCGGGCCGACACAGGAACGTTCTGCGGTTCTGGAGGTCCGGATCGGATGGAGACTCAGGTGAAGCTTCTCTGGTGGATCAGAGCCAGATGGAAATGGAGGCTTTAAAACTCCATCAGAGGTTTGAACTGATGTTTGATTCAGTTCATGAACATTTAGGTCCAACTTTAACAGTAAAGTTTGTAAATGTGAGATCATCTCCAGTTTGAAGTAAATGTTTCCTTCCCACAGAACATTTAGATTAATAAAGTTTAATCTCAGATTAATAAACTGCTTCATTCATCAGGAAACGCATTTAGTTGAACCACATAAACTTCAGGCTGTAATATTTAAAAAGGTTGTTTTGAAATATTACCAGCATTAAAATGATATTGTAATTGTAACTCCAGTTTTTTGCTTCATGCTGATGACATCATCACTTTTATAAAATACTTAAACCAAGCAAAGGCAAAAACACCTGATAGCTAAAAACGGAGGCTCATCGTTAGCGCTCCTGCTAACTTTTAATTGGATTCCTCTAAATTTAATTTCCGTATAAATTGCTAAAGTGATGATTTATTTTGTTGTTTTGTAAACATCAACTGAATCCTTCAAGTAGCTACACGTTTATATTCATGCTCTTATTTGAAGTCTGTTCCATTTCCTCCCTCTTTTTTTTCAAGAAACTTTATTGAGCAAACAGGGAACAACAACAAACGACTGAATTAGGTTGATGACATCATGTCTAGAGCTGCTTTGACTCAATCCTCCAGTCTCCATGGCAACCATTCAGCTGTGCTAAACGCCTCAGTGGACCTAGCCCGCCTTTCACTTAGCTCCTCCCCACTCAGCCCCTTCAGACTAGCCAGCAGAAATTCAGCAATTAGAGTGGCAGAAAAACACACAATACTGTTCCTTTAAATCTTGAAACAAGAAAAATATTTCATTGATCTTTGCTGAATTTTAGATCTCTGGTTCAAAGTCCTGATGATAGTCTCAGTATGCAGCGAGTTGGAGCCGAGAGCAAACTGTTACGGCTCTCTGTGTGTGTGTGTGTGTGTGTGTGTGTGTGTGTGTGTGTGTGTGTGTGTGTGTGTGTGTGTGTGTGTGTGTGTGTGTGTGTGTGTGTGTGTGTGTGTGTCAGTCACCATCATATGACTGCTAGAGTAAACACCTGGGTTGTGATACAGGATAACAAAGGTGATGTCATGCAGGTAACACACACACATTCAGGTGTTGTGTGTACGTGCGTGTGTGTGTGTGTGTCAGCTGACAGGATGTTTAATGTTCAGCTGGTTCAACCGAACTCGTTGTTGTGAGACTGTAGCGGTTCTGACTCTCCTCCTGATGTTTTCTGGTTCCACCTGAACAAGATGGCCGACTCCTCACAGCAGTCAGGTTCACCTGGACTCAGGTGTGTTAAAGCCACCTGGCCGTTACCTTGATTCTCGTCTCCCTTCAGGTCTCTGTCTGGTTTTTATCCCATTGAGCTCGATTAACGTCGAGTTTCTGCTTCGTTTTTTAATGTTTCTGCCTTTGGTTTCGGTTTGAGGAAGACTCTCTGTTAGTGAACTGGTCCAGACTGGGGCTCCTCCAGTAATCCCAGTAAAGAGCGACATGTCGGCCCAGTTTTGTCTTTATGGTTTTCTAGCAGCTTTTTGTCTCCGTCTCATCCAGCTGAACTGTGTGTCCATCAGCGAGGAGGAAACGTCTCCAGTTTTACTGGTTCTCACTGGAAACTGAACTCTGACCAGTTTGACCAGCTGTCACAGGTCCAAGTTTATGGTTCTGGTCCAGTCAGAGGTCAAAGGTCGATTAGCATTCACACCTCACCAATTAAATCAACAGAGAAATAAAATTGCTGTAATAATTAGAAACATGAATAATCTTTTAATCAGTTTTCAGGTTTTTTCTTTTCAATAATTGTACATTAAGCCCCCCCACAAAGTGTCTCCAGAACCAAAACAATAAACTAACATGGTTCTGTTTATAACGTCGGCCTCTTTCTGGACCGGTTCTGTCTGAACCAGAGCAGAACTGGAACCGCTCAGTCCCGGTTCTGCTTGCAGCTGCTGCAGCAGAGATAAGGTCCAGAGCGGTTCTGACCCGGCTCAGCGGGCCGAGCCAGCAGGAACTGAAAACAGGCAGGTCGTTTTCCACAGCAGAAAACAGGAAGCAGGACGCTTCTGACCCGGCTCTGGTTCTGGTTCTGAGCCGTCAGAAAGTTTTTAACCTGAACGGATCATCAGAACCTCATCAGAACCTGTCAGATTTTGCTCTGATTTAATGTTTAATATGACCTGAAAGCTGTAGATCTTAATAAACTCAGAACCAGAACCTTCAGCTGTTGCTAAACCCAGAAGAGTCTAAAGGTCTCGGTTCTCTATGAGCAGAACCCAGTTGTTTAAATGCCTCAGCCCGTCAGAGCCGGTTGGGCCCGGTTTAATAGAAGCCAGGCGGAGGAGGAATGTTTGAGGTTCTGAGCTGCGGTTCAGATGAGATCTCCACCCAAACCCAGAGCTGCTGCTGCACCAGACATCCGGACTCTCTGCCGCCCCGGCAGCTGGTTCTGGACGGTTCTGATGACCCGTGTGGTGCAGAACCAGAGGAGATTGGTCCTGGTTGTTCTACAGTCATTAAATGTTCCTGTTTGTTTTATGATCAGAACCAGAAAGGAGCAGCTCACTGACTGCGCTAATGCTGGAGCTAATTTTAGCATTTTTGCTAACACTGACTAAACTTTAGCGCATTTAGCTTCCCTGATAAATTCTACATTTACTCAGCTGATTGTTATGATTTTTCAAAATGGTTTAATTTAGCGGTTTAGCATTAGCTTCTGCTAAAGACCACACTGATGTAGTGACTTAGTGTTAGCATAGCTAATGCTTATGATGAATACTTCATGGTTAGCACGGCTAACTACTGCTCAGAATAAACGTTCTGCTCAGATACAAACTGAATATTTCACAAGAAAACCAGAAAGAAACAAATCAGAAAGAATCAGAACCAGAACCAGAACTCTTCATTTAGAACCGAGACCAAACCCAACACAGATGTGATGTTTCCTGTTGTTCCTCTGGCCCGAAGGGGCCTGAAGGGGCCTCTTCATCCAGCTCAGCCCAGGGCCCGGTTCCTCCAGACTCCGTCTGTGTTGTTGTGTTTTTGGGTCTAGCAGAACCGCAGTGTGTTCTGTTTGTAGTAAACGGTCAGGATCAGAACCAACGAGTCAGCAGGGAGCTGCCGGGTCGATGCTCACAGCTTCTATCGGATCAATAACCTGATCAATACTCAGAGCCGCCGGCTGCTCGGTCAGCTCACAGCGGCGTTCCAGGTCCAAACGGTTCTGATGGGTCGACCCGGTCCGACCTGCTGCTGTGGGAGAAAAAACTGAGAGTAACTAAAACTTTTAACTTTTCTACTTTAGATTTGAGTTCAGGATAAATTTATATAATTAAAGAAGAATAAATAGAAGACAATAAAATAAACAATAAAATAAAAACCAGTTAAATCATATTTTTAGGTTTTTTTTTTACCAGGACTTTTTGCTCCTTGATTGGTTAAAAATTACATTTATTTTTATTCCCCTAGAATCGCCTTTCTCTGTGTTGCAACAATATTGAATGGTTCTGATTCTGGTTCTGGTTCAGAACCAGAACTGAGTTTTTATTTCACATTAAATAAAAACTGAGTTCAGTTAAAAACAATCATGAATAAAATACAAACAGAAACAATAAAACATGGAAATAAAAAGTCAGGAAGAAACAGATTAAATTTCCCTGGAAATTAATAAAATATCTAAAATTATCTCATTTAAAGTGAAAATTCAAAATAAAAGAAGTAAAAAAAAATTATTTACTGAAAATAACAACTAAAAACTGGATCCAGAAAAGCAAAAACTTAGATCTGATTGATGTAAAACGTTAATCTGAATGAAATGATCCCAGCTGGTCTCCACCGCCTTTCTCTGCTCCTGGACTTTGACTAGGCCGCAGTCTCTCTGATTCTCCTGAAACTTTTTATTTGTTTCTAACAAGAAGAAAAATCTCAAACTGTGACGAAGCGGATCCAGTTTCTATTATGGGATGTTGAGAGAAATGATGACGTCACAAAGCAGAAAGTTTCATCCGATCAGAAACTGAAGGTCATCCTAACTGGACCCTCCAGAACCTGAATGGACCGGGTCAGCTGGTTCCGCCGCCTCTCTGCACCCTCACGCGCACAGCCCGGCGCGCTCCCGGCCGGCCTCGCGCCGGGTTGTGCGCGTGCCCGTGCTGCAGGTAGTAACTCCGCCCCCTCCGTTCAGCACAATACCCGCCGCTCCGCTCCGCTCCGGTCCGGTCCGGTCCGGGTCCAGATTCTGCCGTCCGGCCACGGGCCGCCCCGCATCCTGGCCGGGTGAAGGTCTCCCCTCCGGCCGCAGGTGAGCCGCTCCGCCGAACCTCGGAGTTCCGGTTCTGACCGCGTCCTGCTCGCTGTGATGCTTCGCCACGGAGCCGCCGCTGCTCCGCAGTCCGGTTCCGGTTCTGGAGCTGCGGTCCTCTCCGGTTCGACCTTGTCCCGGCCTGCGGTGCTGGTCGGTCTCGGTTCCGGCCCGGTTCCGGTCCGCTCCGGGCTCTTTGTTCCCTGAAGTTTGCTGGAAGTGATGTCATGGAAAACTGCCGCTTCACGCTGCGGTTCGGCCGGTTCTGCTCAGCCCGGGTCCGGGTCGGATTCGGCTCTGAGGGATCGGGTCGTTCGGGTTGGTTCGTGGTTCTGGACTCCCGGCTGTGGATGATTCCCACCGGGACCAGGAGGAGCCGTTCCCACACAGACCCGGTTCTGGTTCTGGTTCTGGACCTGGTTCTGCTTCTACTACGACCGGAACAGAGTTTGTGTTGTGTTCCTCCAGAAAGTTCTGATCTGAGCAGAACTTTCTAGGGAAGGAGAACAGAACCGTTCTGGAGGTTCTGGACTCATCTTGAACCCAAAGCTACTGCAGTTCTGCTGGAGTTCTGGAAAGCCGGGTCCAGATCACTGCGAACTCAATCCAGAACCACAACCAGGTTCTGCTCAGACCAGGAGAATCCATCGGTTCTGGTAGACCTGACCCAGCCTGGTTCTGTTGGGTCAGAACTCTGGTATTAAGGCCTGTGAGTCCTGGTGTTTCTTGAACCATGAATGAGGTTCTGGATGTTTTCATTCTGGTGCCAGAAGCTGGTTCTGATCGACCCACTCAGCCAGTAACATACTGACTGCTCAGCTCTTCTCCATTGGACTCAATCTGGACCAGAACCAGGTGGTTCTGATGCTCCCAGCCATGATGCTGCCACCGCCGTGCTTCAGACTGAGGAGACTCCAGCTGCACCAGAACAGAACGCTGGTTCTGGATCTGGTTCTGGATCTGGTTCTGGACCTGGTTCTGGACCTGGTTCTGGATCTGGTTCTAGATCCGGTCAATCAGTAAAAACTGATGCCTGAGGCAGAGAGATGGTTCTGACCGGACCGGTTCTGAAGCATCTGGATCAGCAGCAGAACCATGAGGAAGAGCAGCTCCTCCCAGATTGTTAAAGTTACCAGAACCAGAACCTTTTACACGACCAGGTTCTGTTCAGATGGAGCTCAGACAAAAGATTGGATCAGAACCTTGCTCTCCAGAACTACGGAGAATGATGTGAACTCTAGAAACAGGAAGGGAAACATAGTAAACAGGAAACAGGAAGTAAAGAACGATACAAGAGTTGATTCTCTCTGAGAGTCACAACCAGCGGCTGGCAGTGCTAGCTACAACGTTAGCAAGTGCTATTCCAGGTGCTGAAGTGTTTAGTAGTAGCTGCTGCTAAAGCGCTAAATTCAGCCATGTTGATGCCCACTACAGGCTGCAGTGATGCATTCTGGGTATAGAATAAGCATCATTCGCCACAGGAAACAGATTTCTGTGTAAACGTTTATGAATATAAACGCTGAACGTTGAAGTTTATTCAGGTAAAGTTTAGAATTTATCTGGAAAAAATTATTGGAAGCTAAGTGCTGCGAGTTATCAAAGCTAGCAGAAAAGCTAAAGAGCTAAGCTAAAAGTTAGCTCTGCTGTTAGCGCATTAGCAGAAGTGTCAGCCGGGTTCTGATCCAGGTCTATCGACCCGGAACGGACCAGCCAGCTGGGGTTCTGGTTGATCCATTTGGACCGTACTGGTTTGTGTTTAGAACTCCAGGAAGCGGCAGTCCCACAGTATGATGCAACCTCCGCCGTGCTTTACACATGGAGCTCTCTGGTTCTCCTCCGGTTCTCAGTAGAACCGTTTCAGAACCAGGAACAGTTCTGGATCAAACTGATCCACTTCCAGAGTTATTTTTGGGCTGCGGCACCGAAGGGCTGCGATGGAACCCGGGCCAGAATTGTCCTGCGGGCCGAGCCAAACGGGTCAGCGGCTCTGTCTTCACCGACTCTTCGTGATTTGGTCGTCTGTTGTGAGTTTAAACAGACCGGACCCAGTTACCGGTCAGAACCGGGTTCCTGTCGTCACTCTGATGATGGTGCTTCAATTTATAGCAGCTTTTAAATCAATGTTACAAAGTGAAGAAAAAAAACGGCACCAGAGGTTCTGAAGCGGCTCTGGCTGATCGGACCGGTACCAAAGGTTCTTCCTTCAGAATCTTTGTCCAGATTTCTGGCCCGGTGTTAAATCCGGACCCGATCGGACCTTCAGATCTGATGAAGTCACTGAGGAGAATTGTGGCGGCTGTGATGCGCTCGCTGACTGTTGGAAAATAGAGTTCTGATTGGTCCATCTCTGTCCAATCGGATTCTCCATAAATCATCAGGAACAGGAAGTTTGGAACACACTGGGTTCTGGTGGGTCCGAAAGAACCTTCCTGGGTTTTCCTGTGATTATCTCTGGTTCTGCAGCTGAACAGTATTTTTGTTTTATTGTTGAAAACAGACATGAATAAACAAATCAAACTCTCCTCAGTATTTAGTCAAAAAGTTCTTCCATCCAACTAACTTTCCCCAGACTGATGGGATTAATCTGTAGGATGAAGCATTTCAAAGGTCAAAGGTTCATAATCAGGGATGTTTCTTCCACAGTCTGAGGTTCTACCTCCGGTTGCTGTCAGAACCGGGCCTGACGGGTCGGTGTGCTCCAGAACCCAGCTCCAATCCCTCGGTGTGATCAGCTAATCTGACTGTTGCCCCTGACTCCCAGCAGGAAGCACCTCAGTGGCGCCCCCTGGTGGCAGACAGAACCGCCTGGTGGCAGACAGAACCGCCTGGTGGCAGACAGAACCGCCTGGTGGTTTCAGCCGGGTCCAGTCGGGATTGAGTCTATCTGGCTCCTGGTGTAGTAAACAAGCGCTCCCTGCAGCGCTCCTTAATCCTCTGCCTCCTGTTGCTCCCTGAGCGTCTCAGAACCGGCTCCCTGGGTGGGTCCGTTCATCCTGAACCCCCTCGGTTCCACCCGGTGGTTCTGAGTCACAGTCTGGTCCGGGCAGGTTCTGACCCATTTGGTGGAACTGGACCAGACGGCTGCAGTGACGCAGCGTCTGAACCAGTAATTCTGGGTTTTCCTCTGTCATTACTGGGAACCGGAGCCTCAGTTCCTGCTGCGTCAGCGTTCAGAACCGGGCCGGGCTGTGATTCACACCAGACTGTAGCTGCTGGTTCTGGCTCCTTGGCCCGGTCTACAGGTTCTGATTTGGCCCGTCAGACTGGCATAGCGTTGGGATTTTCTCAGTCTCAGGAAGAGAAACTGGAATGTTTGTTTAGGAATCTCGTTTTCCCGGATGATCAGCTCTTTCTTCTTCTCCTGCAGATCTGTGCTGACCCCTGACGACTCTGCTGACCTTTAACCCCTGACCTGCCTTTCAAAGTGTCAGATTTGGGAAATTAAACCAGTCGTTGAATCCTCACTGGAAGCCTGAGCTGCTGGAGCTGAAGAAAATTTCCTGGATTGTTTTTATTTTAATGTAGAACAACAGGAGGAAATTTTGATCAAACAGATTTTTGGGGTTCGTCCGGGAGTTTTTCTCACCAGCGTCCTCCGGTCCGGATGACATGGATCCCTGGACCGAAGAACCAGGAAGTTGATCAGGGACGCAGCAGAGGAAGGAGCATGTCGTGGAAGGGGAACTACTTTGCATCAGGAGGCGGCGGAGGCACACAGGGAGTGGCGGCGGCGCACACCATGGCGTCCATCGCTCCCAGTAAGGGGCTGAGCAACGAGCCGGGTCAGAACAGCTGCTTCCTGAACAGCGCACTGCAGGTACCACACACACTGACACACACTGACACACACTGATACATAGTGGTACACACTGACACACACACTGACACACACTGATACATACTGATACATACTGGTACATAGTGGTACACACTGACACACACTGACACACACTGACACACACTGATACATACTGGTACATAGTGGTACACACTGACACACACTGACACACACTGACACACACTGACACACACTGATACATACTGGTACATAGTGGTACACACTGACACACACTGACACACACTGACACACACTGGTACATACTGACACACACTGACACACACTGACACACACTGACACACACTGATACATACTGGTACATACTGACACACACTGATACATACTGGTACATAGTGGTACACACTGACACACACTGACACACACTGGTACATACTGACACACACTGACACACACTGACACACACTGACACACACTGACACACACTGATACATACTGGTACATACTGGTACACACTGACACACACTGACACACACTGACACACACTGATACACACTGATACATACTGGTACATACTGGTACACACTGACACACACTGACACACACTGACACACACTGACACACACTGACACACACTGACACACTGATACACACTGACACACACTGACACACACTGACACACACTGGTACACACTGACACACACTGACACACACTGACACACACTGGTACACACTGACACACACTGACACACACACTGACACACACTGACACACACTGATACACACTGACACACACTGACACACACTGACACACACTGGTACACACTGACACACACACTGACACACACTGACACACACTGACACACACTGATACATACTGGTACACACTGACACACACTGACACACACTGGTACACACTGGTACACACTGACACACACTGACACACACTGGTACACACTGACACACACTGACACACACTGATACATACTGGTACATACTGACACACACACTGACACACACACTGACACACACTGACACACACTGACACACACTGATACATACTGGTACACACTGACACACACACTGACACACACACTGACACACACTGATTCACACTGACACACACACTGACACACACTGATACACACTGACACACACTGATACACACTGATACACACTGACACACACTGACACACACTGGTACACACTGACACACACTGAAACACACTGAAACACACATTGGCCAGGTTCTGATCCGGGCGTCCCACGGAGCCATGAGCAGACGGTTCGGTACCAGAACCTGGCAGCATATTGGACCCAGCGGGGGGCGGGATGGAGGAACAAACAGAACTAAGTCAGCACTTCCTGCCGGGTCGGGTCCGTTCATGTTCTGTCTCTGCTCAGCCTGTTTCTGGTTCTGGTTCCCTCGAAACCGACCCAGCTCCTCCGGCCCGCTGAGCGGTTCTGATTAACGCCGGATGGGTTCTGATCCGTTTTGTGGTTCGGTTCTGGTCCGGATCCCTCAGTGACACTTGGTGGTGGAGGAACCAGAACCACTTACACCAGTAAAGGATCTTCATCATCATCATCATCCTCAGACCCAGAGGAGGCAGAACCAGCACTAGAACCTGAGACCGAACCAGAACCAGAACTAGAACCAGAACTGTTTCATGTAAATAAAATAATAAAAGGTTCTGTCTCGGGTTCTGGTTCTGGTTCTCTTCCCAGGTTCTAGTTCAGGTTCTGACTCAGGTTCTGGTTCTGGTTCTCTTCCCAGGTTCTAGTTCTGGTTCTGACTCAGGTTCTGGTTCTGTCTCAGGTTCTGGTTCTGGTTCTGTTCCCAGGTTCTGTGGCACCTGGATATCTTCCGTAGGAGTTTCCGTCAGCTCTCCTCCCATAAGTGTCTGGAGGATTCCTGCATCTTCTGCGCCCTGAAGGTGAGGACCAGGAGCTCGGCCCGGTCCCGGCTGGTTTCGGTCCGGTTCTGACCTGCTGTCTGCTCTCCTTTAGAACATCTTTGCCCAGTTCCAGTTCAGCAGCGAGAAGGTTCTGCCGTCCGACGCCCTGCGCAGCGCGCTGGCCAAGAGCTTCCAGGACCAGCAGCGCTTCCAGCTGGGCATCATGGACGACGCCGCCGAGTGCTTCGTAAGACCGGGACCGGACCGGGACTGGGACCGGGACTGGGACCGGGACTGGGACCGGACCGGGCCTGGGACCCGACTGGGACAGGACTGGGACCGGGACCGGACCGGGACTGGGACCGGACCGGGACTGGGACCGGACCGGGCCTGGGACCGGATCGGGACTGGGACCGGACCGGGCCTGGGACCGGATCGGGATTGGACCGGACCGGGACTGGGACCCGACTGGGACCGGACCGGGCCTGGGACCGGATCGGGATTGGACCGGACCGGGACTGGGACCCGACTGGGACCAGACTGGGACCGGGACCGGACCGGGCCTGGGACCCGACTGGGACCGGGACCGCGTGGTCCGATCACACCTTCACTCTGGTTCTGTGTTCACAGGAGAACATCCTGATGAGAATCCACTTCCACATCTCAGACGATACCAAGGAGGACGTCTGCACCGCCAGGCACTGCATCCCGCACCAGAAGTTCGCCATGACGCTGTTTGAGCAGGTGAGGCCGACCGGACCGACCCGACCGGCCGGACCGTTGGTCGGTCCAGCGGGTGAGACTGACCTGGTGTCTCTCTCAGTGTGTGTGCAGTAGCTGCGGAGCGACCTCTGACCCTCTGCCCTTCATCCAGATGGTCCACTACGTCTCCACCACCTCGCTGTGGTGAGTTCCTGTCAGAGCCGCCATCTTGGCTCCGGCGCGGTAGCCAGGTGACTCCTCAGGTTGCCCTGGCAACCAGACACCTGAAGTGTTCAGAAGGAGCTTCAGCTTCTATCTACGTATTTCTAGACGTTTACAGCAGAAACTGAGATCTGAGCTAACGGACCAAAACTTTTAGCCCTCAGCTGGAAAATACAGGGAAATACATCTGTTCCTCTTCCTCCTGTTCCTCCTCCTCCTCCTCCTCTTCCTCCTCCTCCTCCTCTTTCTCTTCTTCCTCTTCCTCCTCCTCTTCCTCCTCCTCCTCCTCCTCTTCCTCCTCCTCCTCCTCCTCTTCCTCCTCTTCGTCCTCCTCCTCCTCTTCCTCCTCCTCCTCCTCTTCCTCCTCTTCCTCCTCTTCCTCCTCCTCTCCTCCTCTTCCTCCTCTTCCTCCTCCTCTTCTTCCTCTTCCTCCTGCTCTTCCTCCTCCTCCTCCTGTTCCTCCTCTTCCTCCTCCTCCTCCTCTTCCTCCTCTCTTCTTCCTCCTCCTCCTCTTCCTCTTGCTCTTCCTCCTCTTCCTCTTGCTCTTCCTCCTCTTCCTCCTCCTCCTCTTCCTCCTCCTGCTCTTCCTCTTCCTCCTCCTCTTCCTCCTCCTGCTCTTCCTCCTCCTCCTCTTCCTCCTCCTCCTCTTCCTCCTCCTGCTCCTCCTCTTCCTCGTCCTCTTCCTCAGCAACCAGGCGCTGAAGATGTTGGAGTGCAGAGACAAACCGACGCCCAGCATGTTCGGAGAGCTGCTGCGCAACGCAAGCATGGGCGACCTGCGCACCTGCCCAGTAAGCTCCCAGCAGATACTGGTCCAGTCCTGGTACTGGTCCAGTCCCAGTCCTGATTCTGGTGCCGTCCTCAGAGCCGGTGCGGCCAGCAGCTCCGGATCGCCCGTGTTCTGCTCAACAGCCCAGAGATCGTCAGCATCGGCCTGGTGTGGGACTCGGAGCGGTCGGACCTGGCCGAGGACGTCATCCACTCCCTGGGAACCCGCCTGCGACTCGGAGATGTGAGGAACCGACCCGGAGGCGACCCGGAGGCGCGGTGGGCGTACGGGCTGACCCGGTTCTGGTTCTGCAGCTGTTCTACAGGGTGACGGAGGAGAAGGCCCGGCGGGCCGAGCTCTACCTGGTGGGCGTGGTCTGCTACTACGGCAAGCACTACTCCACCTTCTTCTTCCAGACCAAGATCAGGAGGTGGATGTACTTCGATGACGCTCATGTGAAGGAGGTGAGACCCGACCCCAGCCGGCCCGGTTCTGATGTAGTCCGATTTATTACTCGAAACCTGGTGGAGGCTCTGTGACCTCGCTGTGACCTCATGGTGACCTCACTATGAGGTAAATATTAACACAATCCATATAATTATAACTTGATCCAAAATGTCTCAATAATATAAAACATTAAAAGCCATAAAAACCAAAAACATGCGGCGTTCTCCTCCCAGCGCTGCAGGTGGCGCTGCAGGTGGCGCTGCAGGTGTCGCTGCAGGTGGCGCTGCAGGTGGCGCTGCAGGTGGCGCTGCAGGTGGCGCTGCAGGTGTCGCTGCGCTTCACAACGTTTGTGTTTCATTCATCAGATTTAAAGGATCAACATGTTGGCCTAATTATGTTGCAATTTTCCTCTTCATTTAAAAATTGCTGAGTCGCCAGAACTCATACGGAGGTCGCCATGTTTTCACCTCTGGGCTGATGATGTCATCAGGTCCAGTTTGAAACACTGACTTCACCCCAGCAGTTGTTGATCATATTGTCATTTTATTTGTATAGATATATTGATTCAGAATGTACAACCATACAGTGTTAGATATTTTTTTGATTGAAAAACCACTCTGTCCATGTAGCCTTATTACATTTAGCACTGCAGAGTAAAAAGATCAATACAGTCCATATTCTGCTGCATCGAATGCAGGATTATTTCAGGATTGCAGTTTGACAGCAGTTCATTGATCCAGTGATTCTGGTGTTGATGTTATCAGTCGCAGCAACGGGGCAGCGCGGCCCGACGCGGCAGCGCGGCCCGACGCGGCAGCGCGGCCCGACGCGGCAGCGCGGCCCGACGGGCAGCGCGGCCCGACGCGGCAGCGCGGCCCGACGGGGCAGCGCGGCCCGACACGGCGAACAGGAAGGCCTCAGCAGGGCAGCAGCATCTTCTGCATTTTTCTCCTGTAGTTTTTTCTCCACCTGGTTGAAAGCGAGCATTTTGCGTTGCACCTCGATGTTGTAATCTGGATAAAGTGAGACTCTGTGACTTAATCAATGAATACATTTCACACTTGAATGTATGCTTTTATTGTGAAGGGCAGAAGGTGAGGTGAGAATACACTTCATTCTATTTTTGGTTTGGATTGGAAGAGACTGAGAACAAATCAAGTTGTATTTTGGTCTTTTTCTGCCGACTCCCACGGTGGTGACCTGAACCTCTATGAACATCTGAACATGTTTTTAAGCTGAACTCACCAGATGCTGCCGCTGCTTCTCCACCAGCTGTGCTTTCAGACCCAGTTTCTTGGCAGGCGGCCGTTGCTCCAACCGTCATTATCGGGCTTCCAGAGTTCTGGCAGCACCATCCAGAACCATGGTTCCAGAACCATGGTTCCAGAACCATGGTTCCAGCACGTGGAAGCCCAGTTCCATCTCATTTGGATAACCACAGATGAGACCAAGTACTTCCATGTCGTTGCTGCGTTGGATTCAGTTTCCACCCGCCGTCTGATGGGTCTGCTGAGGAACCCAGCAAGGAGAATCTGCTCCGGTTCTACCAACTGTCAGACGCGGAGCGGGACGATCGCTTGCGCTCTCTGAACGGCTTGGGGATCACAAGCCCTCTGCCTGATGGAGAACATGCTGGCTCTACTTGTTTCCTTCCTTTTGACACTTCTGTTTCTGCTCCAGTGCATGGGTATCTCCGTTGCACATGGTTCCCAAAGCAGGCGAGGGTTGGTGACCCTGTGGGGATATTTGGCGTCTTAACAATGTGACCAGTAATGACCCAGTTCCTCACTTTCAGGACTTTCTGCCCGGTAGTCCTGCAGGGTAGGTCGTTTTTGTTTGTCTACTTGGATGACATATTGGTGGCTAGTTCTTCTGCGGAAGAACACATGGTGCACCTTCATCAGCTGTCAGACTCAGTGAACATGGCCTGATTGTGAACGCAGCTAAATGCCAGTTTGGACTGCCTGCTGTTGACTTCCTGGCACACAAAGTATCTTCTCAAGGGGCGGTTCACCCACCTGCAAAGGTTGAAGCAGTTTCCACTCCCTCCCTCAGTGAAGCCCCTGCAGGAGTTTTGGGGGATGGTAAACTTTTATAACCGTTCCATCCCAGGCAGCTCACCTCATGAGCAGATAGAGTGGACCTCAGCGGTGCAGGCATTCGATAATGCCCAAAAGGCCTTGGTGAATGCTGTGCTTTGGTCCATCCATCTCCAGTAGCTCCTGTGGCTCTAGCAACTGACGCCTCTGATTATGCAGTTGGGGTTATTTGTGACCAATGGGTGGAGGGTGCCTGACAACCCCTGGTTTTTTTTAGCAGGAAACTAAAAAACGAGGGGTTGCTGTAAAAATATACATCACCTTTGATGGTGAACTGCTTGCCCTTTTTCTGGCAACACACCATTTCCGCTTCATGTTGGAGGGTAGAGACTTTACTGCTTTTGTAGACGACAAGCTTCTCACTTTTGCTATGGCAAAAGTTTCTGAATTGTGGTCAGTTGTGGCAACAACATTTATCTGCCATGTCAGAGTTCACCACTGACATTCAGCATGTCATGTGGCTGGCAAAAATAATCTGGTGGCTGACTGTCTGTCCAGGTCAAAGGTTGCTGCTGTGCATTTAGGTGTGGACTACCTCGCCATGGCCACAGACCAACTGACCGACCAGGATATTCTGGCCTTTAAAGCATCTTAAAGGACGTCTCCTTTCATGAGTGTGGTGCAAACCTTCTTTGCGATGTCTTGACTGGCAAACCTCGACCTTTGGTCCCTACTAGTTGGCACCAGCCTTTGAAGGTACCAGGGGAATTTCTTTCGGGTCCAGCTGGTTTGGTTGATCCCCTGGGAATCAAGTGAGATTCCTAGGGGATCTAGATTCCCCATTTGCCCCATTGGTAGCACATCACTGCTTTTCACAGGTGTTTGTGTCTGTGTTTATCCGCCGTGACTCCCAACGCTCACCACTTCAGCCTCCTTACGATTGTCCAATCCGTGTTCTGGAGAGGGAACCAAAGGAGGTTCTGGTGGAGGTAAAGGGTAATCAGGAGAGAATCTCAGTGGACAGTTTGAAGCCAACTCATGTTACCAGGGAACTCACTGGAGTTGGCTCAGCCACCATCATCCATCATCATCTATCCATCATCCATCCATCCATCCATCATCCATCCATCCATCCATCATCCATCCATCCATCCATCCATCCATCCATCCATCATCTATCCATCATCATCCATCCATCCATCCATCATCCATCCATCCATTCATCCATCCATCCATCCATCCATCATCCATCCATCCATCCATCATCCATCCATCCATCCATCATCCATCCATCCATTCATCCATCCATCCATCCATCCATCATCCATCCATCCATTCATCCACCCATCCATTCATCCATCCATCCATCCATCCATCATCCATCCATCCATTCATCCATCCATCCATCCATCCATCCATCCATCCATCCATCCATCCATCATCCATCCATCCATCCATCCATCCATCATCCATCCATCATCCATCCATCCATCCATCCATCCATCCATCCATCCATCCATCATCATCTATCCATCATCCATCCATCCATCCATCCATTCATCCATCCATCATCCATCCATCCATCCATCCATCATCCATCTATCCATCCATCCATCCATCCATCCATCCATCATCCATCCATCCATCCATCATCCATCCATCCATCATCCATCCATCCATCCATCCATCATCCATCCATCCATCATCCATCCATCCATCCATCCATCATCCATCTATCCATCCATCCATCATCCATCATCCATCCATCATCATCATCCATCCATCCATCCATCCATCCATCATCCATCCATCCATCCATCCATCATCCATCCATCCATCCATCCATCCATCATCCATCCATCCATCCATCCATCCATCCATCCATCCATCCATCCATCCATCCATCCATCCATCCATCATCCATCCATCCATCCATCATCCATCCATCCATCCATCCATCCATCCATCCATCCATCCATCCATCCATCCATCATCCATCCATCCATCCATCCATCTCGCCTGCTCTAGTTTATAATTCTTTCTTTGTGAAACAGGAAATCCCTCCATTGTGTGTTGGTGCAGCTGGTCGGAGCAGAGGTCAGAGGTCAGATCAGTGAACACTTTTCGCCCACTCTGCAGACCAGCTCCCGTCTCTTTCTTCCTGTTAAACAAACAGTAACTCTCTTTGCTGCGGTCCGGTTTGGTCCGAGTGCTGCTTTGGAAAATGGAGGACGGGTGGAAACGATAGAGCAGGAAAAGAAAAGCTAAAGGAGGAAGAGGAAGTTTTTCTTCCATCAGAGACGGTGAGATGCAGGATTCATGTTCTCATGTTTGCAGCAGAATCAGGTTTTAAAACCAGCTGGATTCATTTCCAAACACTTTGGGTTTCATTTTTAGAGGAAAGTCAGAGAACCTGGTTGAAGCTCAGTTTGATTTTTCTTTAGTTTATGGAAAGTTTTCAGTTTGACCTGAATCAATACTGAAACTAACAGATGTTTGAGTGAAGGAATGAAACTGCTATAACTCAGAGGATTATTGCTGTTGTTATTGTGAATAGTTTGTTTCTTATGGAAGCTCCAGGATATGAACTGATAAACTCAACAAAAAACATGAATATTAATAAAATTAAACACTTCAAAACTCTCCAATGACTAAATAATGAGGATCCTTAGTTGTTCAGATGGAGTCAAAATTTTGGTGCTGAACTGGTTTATAATGAAGTTCAAGAGATTTGGGAAAATAAATTTAAACTTTGGAAAAAAGATGGAGGGAAATTCAACCTCCGTTTCAAAAGAAACCGACTTGTTGAATAAAATGGAGGATGAAAATCTTCCCACTGATTTTCATGCTGACTCTGAAACATCCCATAATGTCATGTTTATATGAATCAGAAACATTCATGGCAACCAGAGCAGAGCTCAGGTTTCCTTTGCTTCTCCGGCAGTTGGACCTGGAGTTCTGGGTTAGCTCTCTGATCCAGAACCAGACCTCCAGTATTCAGAGGGTCCCTGCTGTTCCCCTCCCCTCCCTGTTTCTGCTCTTCCCTCAGATCGGGCCCCGGTGGAAGGACGTGGTGTCGCGCTGCATCAAGGGCCGCTACCAGCCGCTGCTGCTGCTGTACGCCGACCCGCGTGGGACGCCGGTGACCCTGCAGGACCTGCCTCCGCGCCTCGACCTGCAGCGCCTCCACAGGGGCTACGACAGCGAGGACTCGGGTAACAGGAACCGCAGACACTCGGCCTGCCGCCGTTACCAGCTCTACAGTAGCTAGTTTTATAGCGGCTAGCTGCAATAGGGCTACCAATAGCTCTACAGCTGGTAGCTCTATAGCAGCTAGTTCTATAGCGGCTAGCTGGTACAGGGCTACTGGTAGCTCTACAGCAGCTAGTTCTATAGCGGCTAGCTGGTACAGGGCTACTGGTAGCTCTACAGCAGCTAGTTCTATAGCGGCTAGCTGCTACAGGGCTACCAATATCTCTACAACTGGTAGCTCTATAGCAGCTAGCTGCTACAGGGCTACCAATAGCTCTACAGTTGGTAGCTCTATAGCGGCTAGCTGCTACAGGGCTACCAATAGCTCTACAGCTGGTAGCTCTATAGCAGCTAGTTCTATAGCGGCTAGCTGCTACAGGGCTACCAATAGCTCTTCAGCTGGTAGCTCTATAGCGGCTAGCTGCTACAGGGCTACCAATAGCTCTACAGCTGGTAGCTCTATAGCAGCTAGTTCTATAGCGGCTAGCTGCTACAGGGCTACCAATAGCTCTACAGCAGCTAATTCTATAGCGGCTAGCTGCTACAGGGCTACCAATAGCTCTTCAGCTGGTAGCTCTATAGCGGCTAGCTGCTACAGGGCTACTAATAGCTCTACAGCAGCTAGTTTTATAGCGGCTAGCTGCTACAGGGCTACCAATAGCTCTACAGCTGGTAGCTCTATAGCAGCTAGTTCTATAGCGGCTAGCTGCTACAGGGCTACCAATAGCTCTTCAGCTGGTAGCTCTATAGCGGCTAGCTGCTACAGGGCTACCAATAGCTCTACAGCTGGTAGCTCTATAGCAGCTAGTTCTATAGCGGCTAGCTGCTACAGGGCTACCAATAGCTCTACAGCAGCTAATTCTATAGCGGCTAGCTGCTACAGGGCTACCAATAGCTCTTCAGCTGGTAGCTCTATAGCGGCTAGCTGCTACAGGGCTACCAATAGCTCTACAGCAGCTAGTTTTATAGCGGCTAGCTGCTACAGGGCTACCAATAGCTCTACAGCTGGTAGCTCTATAGCAGCTAGTTCTATAGCGGCTAGCTGGTACAGGGCTACTGGTAGCTCTACAGCAGCTAGTTCTATAGCGGCTAGCTGGTACAGGGCTACCAATATCTCTACAGCTGGTAGCTCTATAGCAGCTAGCTGCTACAGGGCTACCAATAGCTCTACAGTTGGTAGCTCTATAGCGGCTAGCTGCTACAGGGCTACCAATAGCTCTACAGCTGGTAGCTCTATAGCAGCTAGTTCTATAGCGGCTAGCTGCTACAGGGCTACCAATAGCTCTACAGCAGCTAGTTCTATAGCGGCTAGCTGGTACAGGGCTACCAATAGCTCTACAGCAGCTAATTCTATAGCGGCTAGCTGCTACAGGGCTACCAATAGCTCTGCAGCTGGTAGCTCTATAGGAGCTAGTTCTATAGCGGCTAGCTGCTACAGGGCTATCAATAGCTCTACAGCAGCTAATTCTATAGCGGCTAGCTGCTACAGGGCTACCAATAGCTCTGCAGCTGGTAGCTCTATAGCGGCTAGCTGCTACAGGGCTACCAATAGCTCTACAGCAGCTAGTTCTATAGCGGCTAGCTGGTACAGGGTTACCAATAGCTCTACAGCAGCTAATTCTATAGCGGCTAGCTGCTACAGGGCTACCAATAGCTCTGCAGCTGGTAGCTCTATAGCAGCTAGTTCTATAGCGGCTAGCTGCTACAGGGCTACCAATAGCTCTACAGCAGCTAATTCTATAGTGGCTAGCTGCTACAGGGCTACCAATAGCTCTGCAGCTGGTAGCTCTGTAGCGGCTAGCTGCTACAGGGCTACTAATAGCTCTACAGCAGCTAGTTCTATAGCGGCTAGCTGGTACAGGGCTACCAATAGCTCTACAGCAGCTAATTCTATAGCGGCTAGCTGATACAGGGCAACCAATAGCTCTGCAGCTGGTAGCTCTATAGCAGCTAGTTCTATAGCGGCTAGCTGCTACAGGGCTACCAATAGCTCTACAGCAGCTAATTCTAGAGCGGCTAGCTGCTACAGGGCTACCAATAGCTCTGCAGCTGGTAGCTCTATAGCGGCTAGCTGCTACAGGGCTACCGGTAGTTCTGTGTGTTTCTCTCATAAATGACCCATCGTTGCCCCCTGCAGGCCGTGAGCCGTCCATCTCCAGCGACACGCGAACCGACTCGTCCACAGAGAGCTACTGTGGCCACCAGTCCTCCCAGTCCTCCCAGTCCTACCATGAGGCCGTGGCGAGTCGCTGCTCATCCGACTCCCAGGGAACGCTCGTCTGCATGGAGCGACCCGACAGAACGCAGCACGCCTCCCTCTGCAGCCTGGACGCCATCGGTACCAGACTGTCCTCTGCTGTCCTCACTCACTGCTTCACTCATTCACCGTCTTGCATGATGGGTAAAACATCCCATAATGACTCTCATTGAAAGGCCGCGATGCGGAAGCTGAGCAGCCTCTGAGGAAAGGAGGCGGAGCCGCAGAAAGGAGGCGGAGCTCCAACAGGTCGCTGCGAATCAAACCAGAACCCGAGTCGCCATCAGCAGGTTACCACAGCGATGGTAGGCGGGGCTTAGATTAACGAGATTATAATCTAATAAACAGGAAGCTGGAGTTTATTACAGTCAGTTTATGAAGATGATGAGGCTTGATTTAATCTGGTACTGAAACTGGTTTAATCTGGTTCAATCTGGTTAAATCCGGTTCAATCTGGTTCAAACTGGTTCAATCTGGTTCAATCTGGTTCAAACCGGTTCAAACTGGTTCAATCTGGTTAAATCTGGTTCAATCTGGTTTAATCTGGTTTAATCTGGTTCAATCTGGTTCAATCTGGTTCAAACCGGTTCAAACTGGTTCAATCTGGTTCAATCTGGTTCAAACCGGTTCAAACCGGTTCAATCTGGTTCAATCTGGTTCAATCTGGTTCAAACTGGTTCAATCTGGTTCAATCTGGTTCAAACTGGTTCAATCTGGTTCAAACTGGTTCAAACTGGTTCAATCTGGTTCAAACTGGTTCAATCTGGTTCAATGTGGTTTAATCTGGTTCAATCTGGTTCAATTTGGTTTAATCTGGTTCAATCTGGTTCAATCTGGTTCAAACTGGTTCAATCTGGTTAAATCCGGTTCAATCTGGTTCAAACTGGTTCAGTTTGGTTTAATCTGGTTCAAACCGGTTCAAACTGGTTCAATCTGGTTCAATCTGGTTCAAACTGGTTCAATCTGGTTCAATCTGGCTCAATCTGGTTCAAACTGGTTCAATCTGGTTCAATCTGGTTCAAACTGGTTCAATCTGGTTCAAACTGGTTCAAACTGGTTAAATCTGGTTCAAACTGGTTCAATCTGGTTCAATTTGGTTTAATCTGGTTCAATCTGGTTCAATTTGGTTTAATCTGGTTCAATCTGGTTCAATCTGGTTCAAACTGGTTCAATCTGGTTCAATCTGGTTCAAACTGGTCTATTCTGCATGTCTTCATTCTCTCACCGTTGGTTCATCATGGCTGCTGTCCTCCGTCTCTCCTCCCGTCCATGTCTTTCTTCTCCTCCGTCCTCCAGGAGAAACCTTAAAGGAGAAGCAGGCTCCTCGGCACCTCCCCAAACCTTCATCCTCATCCTCAGCCAGTCGCCTCAGAGACTTTAAGGAGACGATGACCAATATGATCCGCCGGTCGTCCTCCTCGTCCTCGTCCTCTCTGCCGACCGCCGTTCTCTCCTCTGAGCTCCTCCCTGCTGCAGTCCCGGACTGGGAGGCCGACAGCACCAGCAGCGAGTCCAAGGCCAGCTCCTCAGGAGGAGCGGGGAGTTGCCGGCCGGCCTGGAGGCCGCGGAGGGAGACGCTCAACATCGACAACATCTTCACGCGCGAGCGGCGCAGGCAGGCGGGATACAACCCGCTGGGGGGAGGAGCTTGTGAGGCCGACGGGGCCCACACCGCCTCCTCGGGCCAGGAGGAGGCGCCGTCCATCAGAGCGGCGCTCTGCCGGACTCTCCCCAGCTCCTTCAGAGGACAGCAGCTCCCTGCTCCTCCTAGGTTGATCCAGAGGATGGAGAGCGGCTACGAGAGCAGCGGGAGGAACAGCCTGGACCTCAGCCTGGGCGACAGGTGAGACCGCTGGGCCAAAACCCAGAGGTGAAAGGTCACCAGAGGAGCAGCGGTCAAAGAGCAACAGGAGACAGTTTTCCCTAAATCTGACTCAGTTAAGACTTGACCTGTGACCTCTGGCGTCAAACTTCACTCTGGTTCTGGGTGCTGTTTGAAAGAATCACATCCCATAATATGATCCTCTGTGTCTGCAGGGAGAGCGTTGACAGGAAGCCTTCCTCCTCCTCATCCTCAGGACCGTCGTGGAAGAACATCAGGTCAAAGAGGAGCGGCGCTCTGCTGCAGGACCTCCACTCCACCAGCAGGGGGCGCCTCGGTACGAAGGCCCTCGTCTCAGGAGATCCAGAGAGCGTCTGTAACCCTGACGTTCCTGCTGCTGCAGCGCCCCCCGCAGGCCGCAGCGAGCTGGACCAGCTGCAGGAGGAGGTGCTGCAGAGAGCCAGGGAGGAGGAGCGGCAGCGGCGGCAGGAGAAGGAGCGGGAGGAGGCGCTGGGCTTCAACCCCAGACCCAGCAAGTACCTGGACCTGGACCAGCTGCAGATCCAAGGTAACTCAGGTTCTGGAGGTTGGATCCTGCTGGGTCTCCTGTTGCCTCTTGTGCTGGTTGGTCCAGAACCTGTTGGTCTGAAATGGGCCAACAGGTTCTGGACCAACCAGACCATCTGGACTTTGTGTCATGGAGCCTGAATGATCCTCATCAGGCAGATGGTCAGGAGGTTCTGATGGGTCCAAAATGAACCAAGATGTTATCTGCTGCTGTAGCTCAGCTGCTTCAAGGTTGCACATGTTATTTGGGGGAATAGTTAAATCACGGTGTGATTTTTATCAGGAGGAGAATCAGACTTTGACCTGAACAGCCACATGTATGAAGATCCAATGGATGTTCATTCCAGTCGTGTTTTAAATCCTCCAGAGGAGCTGAGAGACTTAAACTGGACCAGTTAAAGCAACAACCGGACCAGTTAAAGCAAAAAACTGGACCAGTTAAAGCAAAAACTGGACCAGTTAAAGCAACAACCGGACCAGTTAAAGCAAAAACTGGACCAGTTAAAGCAAAAACTGGACCAGTTAAAGCAACAACCGGACCAGTTAAAGCAAAAACTGGACCAGTTAAAGCAAAAACTGGACCAGTTAAAGCAAAAACTGGACCAGTTAAAGCAACAACCGGACCAGTTAAAGCAAAAACTGGACCAGTTAAAGCAAAAACTGGACCAGTTAAAGCATCGACACACACCACTGCAGAGGGAACGTAACCATCAGCAGGTTGTAGATATTTGAGCTGATCGATCATATTGATCATATTAATAACATTTATTAGAAGCAATAGTTTTATGTTCAGTTCTTGATTTGAACCAGAAGTTATGGGAGTGTGTGTTTCAGTGTGTGTTTCAGTGTGTGTTTCAGTGTGTGTGTGTTTCAGTGTGTGTTTCAGTGTGTGTTTCAGTGTGTGTGTGTTTCAGTGTGTGTTTCAGTGTGTGTTTCAGTGTGTGTTTCAGTGTGTGTGTGTTTCAGTGTGTGTTTCAGTGTGTGTTTCAGTGTGTGTGTGTTTCAGTGTGTGTTTCAGTGTGTGTGTGTTTCAGTGTGTGTTTCAGTGTGTGTGTGTTTCAGTGTGTGTTTCAGTGTGTGTTTCAGTGTGTGTTTCAGTGTGTGTTTCAGTTTGTGTTTCAGTGTGTGTTTCAGTGTGTTTCAGTGTGTGTTTCAGTGTGTGTGTGTTTCAGTGTGTGTGTGTTTCAGTGTGTGTTTCAGTGTGTGTTTCAGTGTGTGTTTCAGTGTGGTTTCAGTGTGTGTTTCAGTGTGTGTTTCAGTGTGTGTTTCAGTGTGTGTGTGTTTCAGTGTGTGTTTCAGTGTGTGTTTCAGTGTGTGTTTCAGTGTGTGTGTATTTCAGTGTGTGTTTCAGTGTGTGTTTCAGTGTGTATTTCAGTGTGTGTTTCAGTGTGTGTTTCAGTGTGTGTTTCAGTGTGTGTGTGTTTCAGTGTGTGTTTCAGTGTGTGTTTCAGTGTGTGTTTCAGTGTGTGTTTCAGTGTGTGTTTCAGTGTGTGTTTCAGTGTGTGTTTCAGTGTGTGTGTGTTTCAGTGTGTGTTTCAGTGTGTGTTTCAGTGTGTGTTTCAGTGTGTGTTTCAGTGTGTGTTTCAGTGTGTGTTTCAGTGTGTGTTTCAGTGTGTGTTTCAGTGTGTGTTTCAGTGTGTGTGTGTTTCAGTGTGTATTTCAGTGTGTGTTTCAGTGTGTGTTTCAGTGTGTGTTTCAGTGTGTGTTTCAGTGTGTATTTCAGTGTGTGTTTCAGTGTGTGTTTCAGTGTGTGTTTCAGTGTGTGTGTGTTTCAGTGTGTGTTTCAGTGTGTGTTTCAGTGTGTGTTTCAGTGTGTGTGTGTTTCAGTGTGTGTGTGTTTCAGTGTGTGTTTCAGTGTGTGTTTCAGTGTGTGTTTCAGTGTGTGTGTGTTTCAGTGTGTATTTCAGTGTGTGTTTCAGTGTGTGTTTCAGTGTGTGTTTCAGTGTGTATTTCAGTGTGTTTCAGTGTGTGTTTCAGTGTGTGTTTCAGTGTGTGTGTGTTTCAGTGTGTGTTTCAGTGTGTGTTTCAGTGTGTGTTTCAGTGTGTGTGTTTCAGTGTGTGTGTGTTTCAGTGTGTGTTTCAGTGTGTGTTTCAGTGTGTGTTTCAGTGTGTGTGTGTTTCAGTGTGTATTTCAGTGTGTATTTCAGTGTGTATTTCAGTGTGTGTTTCAGTGTGTGTTTCAGTGTGTATTTCAGTGTGTGTTTCAGTGTGTGTTTCAGTGTGTGTTTCAGTGTGTGTGTGTTTCAGTGTGTGTTTCAGTGTGTGTTTCAGTGTGTATTTCAGTGTGTGTTTCAGTGTGTGTTTCAGTGTGTGTTTCAGTGTGTGTGTGTTTCAGTGTGTATTTCAGTGTGTGTTTCAGTGTGTGTTTCAGTGTGTGTTTCAGTGTGTGTGTGTTTCAGTGTGTATTTCAGTGTGTGTTTCAGTGTGTGTTTCAGTGTGTGTTTCAGTGTGTGTGTGTTTCAGTGTGTGTTCAGTGTGTGTTTCAGTGTGTGTTTCAGTGTGTGTGTTTCAGTGTGTGTTTCAGTGTGTGTTTCAGTGTGTGTTTCAGTGTGTGTTTCAGTGTGTGTGTGTTTCAGTGTGTGTTTCAGTGTGTGTGTGTTTCAGTGTGTGTGTTTCAGTGTGTGTTTCAGTGTGTGTTTCAGTGTGTGTTTCAGTGTGTGTGTGTTTCAGTGTGTATTTCAGTGTGTGTTTCAGTGTGTGTTTCAGTGTGTGTTTCAGTGTGTGTTTCAGTGTGTGTTTCAGTGTGTGTGTGTTCAGTGTGTGTTTCAGTGTGTGTTTCAGTGTGTGTTTCAGTGTGTATTTCAGTGTGTGTTTCAGTGTGTGTTTCAGTGTGTGTGTGTTTCAGTGTGTATTTCAGTGTGTGTTTCAGTGTGTGTTTCAGTGTGTGTTTCAGTGTGTGTTTCAGTGTGTGTTTCAGTGTGTGTGTGTTTCAGTGTGTGTTTCAGTGTGTGTTTCAGTGTGTGTTTCAGTGTGTGTTTCAGTGTGTGTGTGTTTCAGTGTGTGTTTCAGTGTGTGTTTCAGTGTGTGTTTCAGTGTGTATTTCAGTGTGTGTTTCAGTGTGTGTTTCAGTGTGTGTTTCAGTGTGTGTGTGTTTCAGTGTGTATTTCAGTGTGTGTTTCAGTGTGTGTTTCAGTGTGTGTTTCAGTGTGTGTGTGTTTTAGTGTGTGTTTCAGTGTGTGTGTTTCAGTGTGTGTGTGTTTCAGTGTGTGTTTCAGTGTGTGTGTGTTTCAGTGTGTGTGTGTTTCAGTGTGTTTTCAGTGTGTGTTTCAGTGTGTGTTTCAGTGTGTGTGTGTTTCAGTGTGTGTTTCAGTGTGTGTTTCAGTGTGTGTTTCAGTGTGTGTTTCAGTGTGTGTGTGTTTCAGTGTGTGTTTCAGTGTGTGTGTGTTTCAGTGTGTGTTTCAGTGTGTGTTTCAGTGTGTGTTTCAGTGTGTGTGTGTTTCAGTGTGTTTCAGTGTGTTTCAGTGTGTGGCCACTAGGTGGAGCAACAGGAATGTTCTCCACTGATCTGCTGAACAAACTGCAACTGAAACACAAAGGAAGTGATGAACAAACAGCTGCCATTGTTACTTACTGACTGACTGTGTGTGTGTGTGTGTGTGTGTGTGTATGTGTGTGTGTGTGTCTGTGTGTGTGTGTGTGTATGTGTGTGTGTGTGTCTGTGTGTGTCTGTGTGTGTGTGTGTGTGTGTCTGTGTGTGTCTGTGTGTGTGTGTGTGTGTGTCTGTGTGTGCGTGTGTGTGTGTTCTGCAGGTAAAGGCGACAGCTTAGACAGGTGTGTGATGGAGGCGGAGCTCCTGCTGGACCAGTCGTTGCGGTTGGAGCAGGCGGGCGATGTTGCGGCGGCGCTGTCTGCGGTCAATGAAGCCGTGTGTAAGCCCGCCCCTTTGTGTGGCTCCGCCCATTCATGACGAATCTCATTCCTGCAAATGAAAATTAGACATGTTTGTGTTCATGTCTGAAGTTAAACTCAGTCAGTCCTGGTGGGGAACCAGAACCGGGTTCTCCGGTCTCTCAGAGGAACCTTTGCTCCTGTTTCCAGTCAGTCGGGTCGATCGGCTGGTTCTGGGTTCTGATCCGGTCCAAACTACCTGAAACCTGCAGCAGCAGCAAAAGAAGAAGTCTGAATGATTAGAGTAAATCAGTCCTGGATCCAGAACCAGAACCTTCGGCCCAGTTTCACTTTCTGTTTGGTTTCCTCACGGCGCCACCTTGAGGTCACCTCTTGAAGTTTCACTTCCTGTTTCCTTTAAACATTTCTGCATGACCTCATCACAGCATCTTATTATTTATGCACATTTTCTTTCCCATTTATCCCTTTTCCTTTGTTATTTTCTGTTTCCATGGTTACGTTTTCCTGCACTGCTGCAGCCAAGCTGCGGCCGGTGGCGGCCGAGGGCGCAGCCGGCAGCCACAGCCGGCTGCAGCGCTGCATGAGGAGATGCCGCAGCCTGCAGCAGCGCATGCAGCAGCTGCAGCAGTCAGAGGCAGTAAGACAGGAAGCAGAGCAGCAGGAGGAGCAGCAGACGCTGGAACAGCCCAGGTACCACCTGCTCTGCTCAGCCAATCACAGGTCAGCCAATCACAGGTCAGCCAATCACAGGTCAGCCAATCACAGGTCAGCCAATCACAGATCAGCCAATCACAGGTCAGCCAATCACAGATCAGCCAATCACAGGTCAGCCAATCACAGGTCAGCCAATCACAGGTCAGCCAATCACAGATCAGCCAATCACAGGTCAGCCAATCACAGATCAGCCAATCACAGGTCAGCCAATCACAGATCAGACAATCACAGGTCAGCCAATCACAGGTCAGCCTGTTGGGATGCAGTGCTGCCCCCTACTGTCAGGTCATGGGATGAGCGCAGGATCAGAGTGAAGCTGCTGGATCTTTTCTCCATTTCTGTGAAACATTATTTACGTCTAAGCCCCGCCCTCTCTGAGCAGCAGTGACCTTCCTCTGGTGACCTCAGTCTTCTCTCTGCCCTCTGCAGATCAGAGCCTCTCCAGCTCCCAGTACTTCTGACAGACAAGCAGGGCAAACCAATCAGCTGCCCAACAGGACCACCAGGCTCCTGCCCCTTTCACCTGCCTTGTTAAGCCCCTCCCTCCTGCAGAGGGTTTGCCCTCTGACCCTGCCTCCAGTAGGAGCCCCTGCTCTGGCTTTGGGAAACCCTCGGTAGCACCAGGTCCCTCCCTGCTCTCGCTGTGGAAACTTACCTGGACGACTTGGCTCCGCCCCCTCTACCGGAAGAGGCGTGGTCTGGCCCGTCACAAGCCCTGCCTCCTCACTGGCCACGTTCTCAAACTCCATCACCTGCCACAGGTGACAACAGGTGTCTTGAGATGACGGAAGATTCGGGATACAAACAGGCCACGCCCACAAGCCTAGCCCCGCCCCCTTCCTCTTGCCCAACCAGGAAGTGGTCTTGTTTAACCCTGGATCAGCTGGATGTTGTGGATTCTCCCTCTGGCTCTGCCCTCACTGTGGGCTGGCCAATCAGGAGCTGCTCCCCACCAGCCAATCAGGTTCTCAGAGCTGCCTGCCTGTGCAACGCTGGGCTGAAAACGTCAACAGATACTACAACTCCCAGCATGCAGCGGCAGAAGGGAGGAGTTATCGGAGCTGGATACGCTGTACCAGGCCAGCCTGCAGGCTCCCAGCATGCGCGGGGCAGCCGTGGAGTCACCCCGCAGCCAGGGGGCAGCAGAGCAGGTAGGAGCACAGATGGCAGGAACTCCTCGTCCTTTCAGATGTAAACATCACTGTGAACACTTCCTGTTTCTGTTCCAGCGGTGAGGAGAACGCCGTCCGGATCCAGACGCTGCAAAACGCCGACGGCTGAAATCGAGAGAAACGCCTACAGGAGACCGGTCTCACCTGGAGAGCAGGTAGAACCCACAGGAAGCTGCTGCACTAACACCAGAACCAAGAGACCTGTGATGGATAAACTGATGAGTAACCAGAGTTTTAGGTTTCAGCAGACATCAGGATCTGCTGCTGTCGACATGACAACGTTCTGGTTGTTTTTACCCTGAAACAGAAACAAATAAAAAAGTGATGAATGAAACCATTTTCAGCCTGAAACTGAAATCAGAACCTTCAGTTTGGGTCGATTCAAGTTCATCCTGAAGTTCTTCCTCATGATTCACAGATGAACTCTGTCCTCTGCAGCCCCCTGCAGGTGACGACGAGAACTACAGCGCAGAGAACCTGCGACGCCTCGCTCGAACTCTGAGTGGAACCGCGATCAGATCGAGACCGCAGAACCTCCAGCAGAACCTCCAGCAGAACCTCCAGCAGAACCTCCAGTACAGCTGTGTAAGTCACACATAGGTTCATGCTGCCACCTGGTGGTGACGTGTTGTCACTGCAGCCGGCTTCATGAACTGTGTAGCGTCTAAATCCTGTATTTTAGGGTACTGGTTGTTGCTCCTGGGGGTAGCTTGTTTTACGTGCGTTCAGATAAGATTCAGGATGCTGATCCTCTAGTTTGATTTCTAATAAAGTCTTTTATTATCCGAAACATTGTTCATAGTTTAGCATTGCCATTAAAATACACATAAATTTGACATCCAACCCAAACACAGTAGAAAACTGTATCCTCTTCCCATTTGCCACACCTGCACAGAATTATGATTGACCTTAAATAACCCCTCGCCCCCTCAGAAAACAACACAATACGCCCTCTGGTGGTGATAACAGAGCAAGTACAAATGGATCCTACAAACTGTTCTGTTCCTCTGAATGAGTTCAAAGACAAAACCAGGAAGTTAATTCAGTTCTCTGGCTTCATCGGAGAGTCCAGCAGGTTTGGGCCAAGGTCAAAGTTCAGCAGGTTTACATCAGGTGTTCAGCCTCAGGACTCACCTCAGACTGCTGGTTAAACATTCATGTGTGGTTTAGTTTTGCCCTGAGTGCGGTCTGCCAGGCGGAGCCGGTCCGCCAGGCCCGGTCCGCCAGGCCCGGTCTGAACTCGGCCTGCAGAAGAACCCTGACGTTTCCTCTTGCTGAACGTCGGGCGCCTGATCTGAAGCTACGGTGGCTCAGAGGAGACACATCCTGACAGGAAGTCGGATCAGAACATTTCAGGGTTTGTTCAGTTCATCTTCATGTGTTCACTGCTTCTCCTCTTCCCTCCATCTTCATCCCCCTCCTCCTCTTCCTCACCACATCTGAAGGGCCCCTCTGTGTCCAGGCCCCCCCTCAGACACTCAGACCTTCACTGCTCCTCTTCCTCCTTCCTCCTCCGCCCCAGCACCTCCTCCCTCCACCTCCCCTCCTCCTTCACAGCAGACGGCTCCTCCCTCCACCGACTCCACGGCCCTCCGGCTCCACGGCCGCCCCCACCTGCAGACGCCACGGCCCCCCCCTCCTGGGACACTCAGGTAACCCGCCACCTCCTCCTCTCCTGCTCTTCATCCTCTTCCTCATTGCTGCTGACTTCCTGTTGGGAGAAACTCAAACTCTGATCTGCAGTTCAGTAGGAACTGGTTTGTGTTCACATCCCTTATGTAGTTCTCACTGAATCAGTTCACTGATTCAGTGAACTGAATCAGTTCACTGAATCAGTTCACTGAATCAGTGAACTGATTCAGTGAACTGAATCAGTGAACTGAATCAGTTCACTGAATCAGTTCATGAATCAGTGAACTGAATCAGTTCACTGAATCAGTTCTTTATGTTCAGTAGGAACTGGTTCAGCTCCTGTTGTGAACGTTTCCTTTAGTTTCACCGATCAGTCGTCATTATGGCTGACTTCCTATGGCTCTGATTAAGGAGTATTGCATCACTTCCTGTTGCTGTTTTCTCTGTTTTTATTTGATCAAATTTCTGAATAATAAAACTTTACTGATTTATTTTACATAACCACGTTAAAACATATTTTACATTTTGCTTTTTAGGAACTCAGCCTGTAGTCTAGTTAGCTTAGCATTAGCTTTGTTAGCTTAGCATGTTAGCTGGCCTCAGGTTGGCCAGGGGTTCATTTCTGGGTTCTTCTCGTCTCATTGGTCGGTTAACTGGACTTTAACCTGAACAACTCGAGCAAATAAACTAGTTTGAACCAGAACCAGAAACGGCAGGTGTTCACCAGGTTCCTCTGCTCTTCCTCCTCCTCTTCCTCAGGTTCACCTTGGCACCAGGTTCTGGTTCTGTCTGACAGCGGTCCGACTCCTTCAGCTCTCCGCGGAGTTGCCATGAGTTACGCCACTCTTCCTCGGAGCGCCCCGCCCCCCTCCAGGCCCAGACCCGGTTCTGCTGGTTCTGCTGGTCCACAGAGTCTCTACGGCGCCCCGCTCGCCCCCCAGCGCCATCATCAGGCATCACTTCCTGCTCCACGGCGCCCCCATGTGTTAGAAGATGTTCCTGCTCAGCCTCGGCGCCTCGACGTTCCTCCTGAGACGGACTGGCGGCGCCATGTGGACCCGCGGGCCGCCCGGCACCGACCCGCCAGGCCTCTGTGGCCCGGTACCATTCAGGCAGCAAACAGAGAGGGAGCCGTCGGCAGGTTCATGGAGGTCAGAGTTCACGACCAGAACCAGAACCTCAGTGGAGACAGAAGAAGCTGAGCAGATCCAGAACTTCCCTGAAGAACCAGAACAGAGCCGGATCAGAACCAAAGCCAGCAGAACTCTCGGTCCAGAACCTCCTCTGTTCTGCTGGACCCGTGTGGCTCCAGCTGAGCAGCAGCAGAAGAAAAGAACCTGGATGTGGTTCTGCTCCAGCGTAGACGTTCTGCAGGTTCTGGTTCTGTTGGGTTTCCTCTGGGATCTTCATCCTGATGTTTCCTGTTTCCCTTACCCAGTTCTGATGTCACTTCCTGACCGGTTTCCTTCCTGTTTTCCCAAAAGTTCTGCAGAACTCCGCCCGGCTGGCGCCGCAGGTGGGCAGAACAAACCCACCAGCTTTATGTGAAGGTGAAGAAACGTCCCAGTCAAAGTTCTGCTTCCCATCATGTCAGTTTCTAGTCCGGCTTGTTTTTCTCAACCTCATGTCCAAGTTCTGGTTCTGTTGATCCAGAAGGTTCTGAATGAGTCCAGAAACCAGAGCAACAAAAATAGAAAAATGTTGTGCAGGTTTTCAGTTTCCGGTAGAAAATCTGAATGAAAGAAAAGAATAAATATTTTCCACTTTTGACTTTCATCAAGTTGTTTCATTAAATGTTTTATTGAAGTTTAAACAGAATAAAAAGAGCAACAAAGAGATGAGATGAAGTTTAACTGCAGGAAGATTGAATAGAATCTGAAATGTTTCAAATGATCAGAAACAGAAAATAAACATTTCAATGAAACTTACTTTCCTCCAGCTGTCAGAGTGCTGAACGCTGATTGATCAGCTGCTGACAAGCTCCCGGAAATGATTGGATGAGGTTTGCTCTACGTCAGCATGGGGGCGGAGCCGTGGTTTACTGGTTGCCACGCCAACGAATCTGCGCGTGACGCTAAGCTAACGGAGTGAGAAAAAAACTGAACAGTTTTTATACAAACTGAAGTAATGACGTCATGGAAATATTCAGATGAAATATTTCAGAGTCAAAAGTGTTTTAAATTTATAATTTATATTCAGAGACAATATATTTTATAGAATCCAGTAATAACCAAACCCTAAAAGGTTTAATATTTAATGCTTGTTATAATAAAGTCACATCATTTCCTCTGCTGTGACAAAAGGTTTTTGATACCAGCTGTAAAATCAGAATCACATCATTAAACATGAAAGTTTGATTCATCTGGTTACACAGAAGTTATTTATTCTGCTTTTGAAATGTTGAAACGTTTTGTTACAGAACCTCATGTTGATGTTTTGATCAAATCAGACAATAAAAGGAAACTTTGTGAAAATTCTTCACAAAAATGATTACTGATTTGAAACTGTGTGAAATTGTAGGTAATAACAGGCTGATTCCATAAACTAGAATATGAGTGAAAAGTTCCATCACCAAGTGAAAGACATGATCTAGATTCATTCATTACTCGTTTTAACATGTTTACACTTTGTGTACGTTTAATAGCTGCTAAAAGGTTATTTTCTAAAGGTGCTTTTAATCTGACAGTCTGATCAGGATTAATTGAGTCACATTAAGGTTTTGATTTTATTCTTAGCAGTGAAACAGAAAAAGGCCTCCCAGTAACTCCCAGTAACTCCCAGTGACTCCCAGTAACTCCCAGTGACTCCCAGTGACTCCCAGTAACTCCCAGTAACTCCCAGTAACTCCCAGTGACTCCCAGTAACTCCCAGTGACTCCCAGTAACTCCCAGTGACTCCCAGTTTGTAAATAATGTGACTTTAATCTGTGGCTGGTCTCTCTTATGTTTCTGGGTCCAATAGTTTTGAGAACCAGAACCAGAGGAACGTCAGCGACCCGATTCCTGCTGCCTGATCTGGGCTCAGGCTGCTGGTTCTTACAGGTCATACTGGTCCTGGTCCCAGAGACCAGAACTGGTTTTCATAAATCCATCCACTACTGGTTTCCTTGTATGATTTTGTTTATAATTAGCATTTTGTAATTTGACTTTGTGGAAATATCGTTCTAACTAATTTGGGTTCTTTTAAAGTTCTTATTGGACTTTGTCCCCATGTATCAGGCTCCGGGCCCAGAGAGCTTGTTTATTGGACCAATCAGATCTTTGGTTCTGATGGAAACTGGATGTTAATAGCCCTGACCTCTGACCCTGTTGGCCAGGCAGTGAATAAGGACTCAGACTGCAGCATGTGGAACCAAACTGTTTATTCCTCCAGAGCTCTACTTGTCCTCCGGCTTGTTGAAGCAGTAGGTCAGGCAGCATTTGCCGCAGTAATGGCGGTCGAAGTGACTCGCCATGAAGACGCCGGCGCCGCACTCATCAGCCGGACACTCGCGCCGCAGACGGTGGATCTTACCGTTCTCATCCACCTGCAGATACAAACAGCCGCTGAAGGCAAGAGGCAACACCCCAGAAACCCCGCCCTCTGACCCCAGAAGCCCCGCCCACCTTGTAGTACTTGAGCACGGCCAGCTTGACCTTCTTCCTCTTGTGTTTGTTCTTCTTGGGTGTGGTGTAGGACTTCTTCTTCCTTTTCTTGGCGCCGCCTCTCAGACGCAGCACCAGGTGCAGAGTAGACTCCTACAAACAGGAAGCGGTTCAGACTGACACCGGGACCCGAGCCCCCTGCCGAGCCGGGACCCGAGCCCCCTGCCGAGCCGGGACCCAAGCCCCCTGCCGAGCCGGGACCAGGCCCCCTGCCGAGCCGGGACCCAAGCCCCCTGCCGAGCCGGGACCCGAGCCCCCTGCCGAGCCGGGACCAGGGCCCCCTGCCGAGCCGGGACCAGGGCCCCCTGCCGAGCCGGGACCCAAGCCCCCTGCCGAGCCGGGACCCGAGCCCCTGCCGAGCCGGGACCCAAGCCCCCTGCCGAGCCGGGACCAGGGCCCCTGCCGAGCCGGGACCCAAGCCCCCTGCCGAGCCGGGACCAGGGCCCCCTGCCGAGCCGGGACCCAAGCCCCCTGCCGAGCCGGGACCCGAGCCCCCTGCCGAGCCGGGACCAGGGCCCCCTGCCGAGCCGGGACCAGGGCCCCCTGCCGAGCCGGGACCCAAGCCCCCTGCCGAGCCGGGACCCGAGCCCCCTGCCGAGCCGGGACCCAAGCCCCCTGCCGAGCCGGGACCAGGGCCCCCTGCCGAGCCGGGACCCAAGCCCCCTGCCGAGCCGGGACCAGGGCCCCCTGCCGAGCCGGGACCCAAGCCCCCTGCCGAGCCGGGACCAGGGCCCCCTGCCGAGCCGGTCCCGGGGGTCCAGGTCCCGTTCAGATTCTCTGCTGCAGCTGGTTGTTAAAATGTTAATTTGGAGAAAAAGTGACGATTGAAATCTTCAATCTGATTCAGGTTGTTGTGATGTTAGCTCCACTTCCTGAGCTTTCAAATGATCCTGATTTTATAGACCAAATTATTAGAAATAATCCTGCAATTTAGCAAAAATGACTTTGATCGACTCCAACATGGCAACGATCTCTGCAAAGGTTTAAAACATCAAGTTTGTGTTTTATTGATGTCAGTAAAGTGAAGGTGAAACATGCAGATGATCTGGTTCTATTGGTCAATGAATATGTAACTGTGTATGATGACAGATTGTTAAAATGCTGCTATGATCTGTTGAACTAAAGGATAAATAACATATTCAGAGTTTAAACTGACAGGATTCCTTTAGTGTCAGTGAGAAAATTAAATATGTTAATTCAGAGCATATTTTCTCTACTCTGACTGGTTTCCTCCATGATGCATCAAATGTTTCTGAACCAAAACGGATCAGAGGAGAAACTTCATGTTTAACTTTATACATCATTTCAATTTATCTGAAGATCAAATCATCACCACTGAGCCACAGACTAACAGTTATTAAATGTCTCATCTTGTTTTGGATGTCTGCTTTAATTAGCTTTGGTTGAACTTTGAGCCTGAAATAAATTAACTATTTTCTATTAAATTAGAAGAAAAACTGAACAGTTCAAGAAATGAACCAAAACATTTCAACCGAATCTGTTCAGAAGAACTGAAAGCTGCAGAGTTCTTCTCACCTTCTGGATGTTGTAGTCCGACAGCGTCCGTCCGTCCGTCTTCCAGCTGCTTCCCAGCAAAGATCAGCCTCTGCTGGTCAGGAGGAATTCCTGCAGGAACATCAGCAAGAATTTAAACAACCTGGAGACCTGGAGACGCCTTCAATGACCCCTGGAGACGCCTTCAATAACCTCTGATCCCAGGTTAAACCCATGCTCCTGACTGGATGAAGCAGCTATCTGGGTTCATGTTTCTAATTTCACTTTGAGGAAGTCTGAAATTGAACCATCAACCTTTCTGAGCTGCAGATAATCTGATTTCTACATGAACAGCCAATCAGATTCTTTTATTTCAGTTGCAAAGCAGAAGCAAACATGTCAGACCTCCAGAAACCCTCCAATATCCACCTGCAGATATGAAGTTTTATACCTTCATTAATATGTTAAAATAATTTTTTTAATGTGACTCAGTTTGTAAATATTCTTTCAGTTAATTACTATTGTCTTGACTTAAGTTATACTCCAGCTAATTTCAACATATAGATTTCATTTTGTGAAGACAAAAAAACCATCATGAAGTTGGTGAAAAGCTGCCAAAGTGCCTTTAAAAAAACTTAAACTATATAGACACTTAATTATGAAGTAAATAAGGCAATTATTAGATTCAGAAATACAATAACTAAGACGTATTTGTTGATAGGAACTTCTTCCTCCAGTTTTCATTTCAGGTCCAGTTGGACTTCATTTGGAGGCGTTCAGGGTCGCAGCCGCAGGATCATTCAGAACCACCTGCAGCTGACACTCACTTCCTTGTCCTGGATCTTAGCCTTGACATTTTCAATAGTATCTGAAGGCTCAACCTGGAAAATAAAAACACATGTAACCTGATAGCATTGAATAAAATCACTGCATCAGCTCCAACACTGAGTCCTTCAATCTGCTCCGTTTAAACGAACCGGAGCAGATTGCGGCTGCACGTGTTTACTGCTCTACCAACTTTAGCCAAGTATCTTCAGTTTAGCCACTTTTTATGACCAATCGAAGCATTACTGCGTTATACATCAAAATAATAATCAGAAAAAGCTTAACAAGCTCCTTTAAACAGCAAAGCTCCGTTTAACCGCAGTAAGTAAACGCCGCCACCCTCCAGCACGCTCACCTCGAGGGTTATAGTTTTCCCCGTGAGGGTTTTCACGAAAATCTGCATCGTGAGGTTCGGTCCACCTGTACAGAAACACGGAGAGACTATCGGAATCCACTCAGATTGAAAACGGATCCAAAATACCGTTACGTTTTATTAAAAGGTGATAAAAACACGCAGCACCACTCACCACCGGTTCACTCCTAATGGCGGATCCTGAGAAGAGGACCTCAAAGGGGAAAGAACGGGGTTTCCTACACGCGATTCAACGGAGGTAGCTGGCAGTATTGTGCCTGAAAAAACAGAAAGTTTTTTTTAATCGTCGTTAATTTACTTTTTACTACAACATATTTCGGCCCTGAACATATCAAAAATAACATTAAGGTACATACTTGAAATAATATAACTCAAATTATCAAAAATATGATTTTAAGTGGTCCTCGGTTTCCATGGTAACACCACGATTACTATGTTAC